GCGGTGCGGGGGGGGCGGTGCTGGGCGCGCTGCGTGGGCAAAGGGTGGGTGTGCAAGGGGGTGTGCAAAGGTGAGTGTGCAAGGGGTGTGTGCACGGGTACTTGTGCACGGCTGCGTGTGCAAGGGGGGGGTGTGCATGGGTACTTGCACACCTAAGGTGCTTGCACACCCAAGGGTGCAAGGGTGCGTGCATAAGGGTGAGTGTGCAAGGGGTGTGTGCACGGGCACTTGTGCACGGCTGTGTGTGCAAGGGGTGGGTGTGCACGCGTACTTGTGCAAGGGTGCGTGCATACGGGTGAGTGTGCACGGGGTGGGTGTGCACCGGTACTTGTGCACGGCTGCGTGTGCAAGGGTTGGGTGTGCATGGGTACTTGTGCAAGGGTGCGTGCATAAGGGTGAGTGTGCAAGGGTTGGGTGTGCACGGGCACTTGTGCACGGCTGTGTGTGCAAGGGGTGGGTGTGCACGGGTACTTGTGCAAGGGTGCGTGCATAAGGGTGAGTGTGCAAGGGTTGGGTGTGCACTTGTGCAAGTGTGAATGTGCAAAGGTGCGTGTGCACGGGCACTTGTGCAATGGTGCGTGCATAAGGGTGAGTGTGCAAGGGGTGTGTGCACGGCACTTATGCAAGGCTGTGTGCGTACAGGTGCGTGTGCAAGGGGTGTGTGCATGGCACTTGTGCAAGGCTGTGTGTGCATGGGCCTTGTGCATGGCTGCGTGTGCAAGTGGTGTGTGCACGGCACTTGTGCAAGAGTGCGTGCATAGGGGTGAATGTGCAAGGAGTGTGCATGGGCACTTGTGCAAGGGTAAGTGTGCATGGGCACTTGTGCAAGGGTGCGTATGTAAAGCTGAGTGCAAAGGGTGGGCGTGCAAGGGGTGTGTGCATGGCACTTGTGCAAGGATGCATGTGCGAGGGTGTGCAGAGGTGAGTGTGCAAGGGTGCGTGTGCATGGGCACTTGTGCAAGGGTGCGTGCATAAGGGTGAGTGTGCAAAGGGTGGGTTTGCAAAGAGTGGGTGTGCACAGGGTGCATGTGCAAGGGTGTGTGTGCACAGGCACTTGTGCAAGGGTGGGTGTGCAAGGGCTTTCCATCCAAGGGCTGCATGTGCAAGGTTTTTGTTCATGCAAGGGCTGAGCGTGCAAGGGTCCATGTGCAAGGCTGGATGTGCAAGGATGCTTCCCGTCCAAGGGCTGCGTACACAAAGGGTGCATGTGCAAGAGTGGATGTGCCAGGGCTGCATGTGCAAAGGCTGGAATGTGCAAGGGTGCTTATGGTAGGACGCATGTGCAAGCACTGATGATGCAAAAGCTGCTCGTGCAAAGGTACTCATGCAAGTGTAGGTGTGCAAGGGCCACTTGTGAAAGAGCTGTATGTGCAAGGGCTGCGCATGCAAAGGCCGAACTGCAAGGGCTGCTCATGCAAGGGTTGCCCATACAAAGGCTGTGTATGCAAGGTCTGTGTGCAAGGGCTGCACAGGTAAGGGTGGGCACACAAGGCTGCTTTTGCAAGACTGCACATGCGAGGGCTGCCTGTGCAAGAGTGGGCATGCAAGGGATGCTTGTGCAACGCTGCAGGTGCAAAGCTTGCATGTGCCAGGTCTGAGTGTGCAAGTGTGAGCATGCAAAGGCTGAGCATGCAAGGGGTTGACCTGCAAAGCCTGGATAGCGCTGCAAGGGCCCGCCAGCCATGCAAGGACTAGATATGCCAGGACTAGGCATGCAAAGGCTGGCTGTGCTGCGACAGGCAACATGCAACAGTTGGATGTGCAAGGGATAGAAGTGCTGGTGGGGACAGTTGTGCAAGGGTTGGCTGTGCTGGGGAGGCAGGGGTTGGTGTGCAAGGGCCCAGGCTACTGTGCAAGTCCTGGACATCCATGCAAGGTCATGCAAGCCCTGAACAGTTGTGCAAGAGGCAGGCAGCTGTGCAAGGCCTGGGGAGGTGCAAAAGTTAGACCCTCGTGCAAGAACTCCATAGACAAGGGCTGATCACCTGAGCAAGTCATGCAAGAGCTGGATGAGCAAAAACTGATCACTTGTGCAAAAGTGAGATGGGCAAAGACCAAACAGTTTTGCATTCTACTTAGTTTCAGGATAAAAGGGGGGAAAAAAAGTGAAAATAAAAATAATCTGTTTAAGCTCCAGGTTTCTGCATGGTGCACCAAGATGCGTTGGAGCATCGTGCTCCCCTTTTCCCGATCGCTGGGGCTGGGTAGCCCGGGAAGCAGGGCTGGGAACTCCGGTTACGCAGGATGGCAGCGACGTAGGGCAGGAAGGTTCCCGGAAAGGCCTTTAGTCACTTCCCCTCGTCGGGAGCAAGGTGCCCGTGCGGAGGGCCGCGGTCTTTCCGACGTGGTGCAGCACATGCTGCCAACCCAAAATAGAGCCGACGCTTCCGCTTTTGGCCTGGATGGGGGGAAGGGAAGGGAGACCCTGCCCTGAGCTCCATCCCTGCACTGGGAGAACCGGGAGCGACATGCACGTGGTCTTTTCCAAGCTGGGAAATCAAGATGTGTTTTGTCTCAGCCCAAGTTGCACAATCCAAGCTGGAGCTGACTCCTCTCTGACTTCGCCTTCTGCCACCAATGCAGCTTTGAGTGCAGCGGGACAGCTCCCAATGCCTGGGTGCCACATCCTCCTGGAGCTGGCTGACAGCTCTCCTGGGTGTTATTTCACCCCAGATGTCCCAGAAATGGTGTTTTCCCGTGTGGTGCCCTCGGCCGCTGTCCCTCAGCCAGGCTGCCGACAGCAGAGGGCAGTGGCACCTCGAGGCACCGTGTCCCAGGCCAGCACAGTACCTGAACGTCCTTACCAAACCCAAGGGGCGCTTGGATTCACAAGATAGGGATTTCAGGATTCCAGCCATTTGGGAAGCAATTCCCCTTATCTGAAGCAGGAAGCCGTGCAGAGTCCTAGCTCTTCCCTAGGGTTTGAATGAGGTGATGATGCTGGACCAGGAGCCAGGATGCTTGGTGCTGGGCTCTGGCATCAGTGGGAAACCTGCCTGTGCCAATTCCTGAACCCCAACCCCGTCATCTTGCTCCTGCACAGCACTCCTGGATACTGGGCAAACAGGGGAACGCCCAGTGAGATCCCTGGTGTGGCTGTTGGCCTTGGCCTGGAGCATCCTCGTGGCTGGATGCTGCTCCATCGAGCTCTTCCTGGGGCCCCTTGGACCACCAGGCAAGCTGGAAGGTGATCTCAAGAGTTCCTACTCTGTGAATCAACTCTGGAGCTGCTCCTTGGAGCCACCAAGGATTTTCCACCCCAGCCTTCCTCACTAGAGTTTTTAGGGAGAACTTGGCTCCTCTCCCGCCTGGGCTTTCCCTGCCCTTCCTATGGCCCCATCGGAAAGCCAAGTGCCAGCAGCTCCAGCTCCCCCAGCGAGGGCTCCCCGAGGTGCCACAGCATGAACCAGACCTCTCCGATTCGGCCGCCTCCGGCTCCGTGGGGCCATTGAGTCATCGAAGGGAAGGAAAATACCCATGAGGTCATCTGGGCTGCCGGTTCTGCATGGGTTCCCCATCGGATTATTTGGCACTTGCTGCCAGGCGAGAGGAACTCAAGCGAGGAGGCAAGAGGTGGGGACCTCCCAAGGCTTGGTGCTCTCCAGGCAGCTGAGGCTGTGCCCGGGACAGCTGAGAGGCCTTCGGCCGCCTTTCCTGCGGGCAGATTGCCTCGGAGACAAGCCGCTCACATTTCCCTTCCTCGGTTTCCTTAATTAGAAGTGGGCACGGCGTTTCTCTGCCCTCCGGATACAGCCTGAAATAACAGGCAAGGCGTGGGAGCGCTGCCCGCCCCGGGATAGTCGTTTCTTCCACCGGCTCAGGGATCACACCGTTCAAGTTCCCCCTGCCTCCGCTGCCTGCCTTTCCATTTGCCTTTCTTTCTTTTTTTTTTTTTTTTTTTTTTTTTTTTTTTTTTTTGGCTAGCATGTCTTAACTCTTCAGGCTTTGGAACTGCTTTAGAGACTTGTGTTGACCTTTCTTTTTTTCTTTTTTTTTTTTTTTTTTTGCTGTTTTTCACTGTCATGTGGACTCCCAGGGTGTTTCCTCCCTCCTAGGAATCATGCACGGGCTCCAGGCCAGCTTCTCACTTCTTTTCCATCCAGGCTTGCATGCAGCTAGAGTCGCTCCAGGGACAGCTCTGAACATCAGCCGGCTTCCCTCAATGCAGGGCACAGGATGGGGGAAATAACCGCAAGTGAGTGTGTCCCTGGACACTTGTGTCTCCAACTGTGTCCCTCTGTCACACTTTGCAAGAAGACTGTCCTCTTCCCTTGGTTACAGAAGTTGGGCTATCATCAGGGGGCTTTGTCTTCTGAGGTCTGTCTGCCCTGAGGTCTATGCCAGGCTCACAGGGTTGCTCCTGTTGAGTTTTTGCATGTCCTTCTGTGGTTCCACCTCCAAAATGAGTTGTTTTTGTGGAATCAGACCAGTGACAAAGCTGCCGTGGAGCAACCCCGAGCAGGGCCCTCTTGCTCCAAACCTCAGCAAGAGGTTTCCCTCACCCTCGTTCCCATCAGAGATCCCCTCTTTCAACTGATTACGGGACCCATATTAAAATGCCTTGAAAGAGACTTAACCAAGAGGTCCCAATAGGCATCCGTTACACGGCAGCTAAATCTTATTAAGCATTAGCAAGCACCTTACTCCTGCACTCTGGTAACAGGCTCATGCAGATCCTTTCTGAGCATTGCCAGCTCTTGGTATAATCAGGCAATCTCATAAAATATGTTTACAAGGGGCCCCAGGAGGTCACCTAGTCCAGCCCTTGCTCCCT